GGCGATCGCAGCGGCACCGGGGAGCGCGTGCGGGCGGCTGCGCGGCGCGGGCAGCCCCGCTCCGCCTCAGCGCGGCTTCCCGCGGGGGGGAACGGGGGGAAAGGGAGGGAAACGGGAACGAAACGTGTCCCGGGGGCCGGCGCCGGGCGGCCGCCAGACGGCCCGCTGGAAAGCCCCGAGCCTGTCTCGGCATCTTGGGAGAGGTGGATTATTCGGCATCATCTTTCCATTTATTTATTTATTTATTATCAGCATTAACATTATCTAATAGTATTTAGGAAGTTTAGTGTTTTGATTCACGCACCAAAAATTAATTGAGTGGTAACTACATAGCACTTACCGGTGCACAGGGGTATATTTGGTCGGGATGGTTACCCGTTCCTGAGAGAGACAAACTTAGAGGAATCCCTAAGAAGTAAGGGATGTAACCACAGAATTAAACAGATTTGTGATCTGAATGCCTGGAGGTGCCAAAGGAATCTTTTGTTGCTGAATTTTTGACCCCAAACGCATTAAAAGTGTTCTGGTATTTTAAAGCATTTTATATCTTATAATTCAGATGTGCATTTAACTTCGTAGGGATGACATGCAATGTGATGTTTGTGACGTAAACATTTTAAACAGCTCTAGTTTGCACGATGTCTCGGCACAAATCGTTTTGGTGATTGTAACTGTGATTTTTTTTTTTTAGCTTATCCATTAATATTATTCGTTTATTAATATCGATACTTATCACATAGTGAAGTAATAACTTTGTTTCTCAATTGGTATGGTAAGTTATTCCAGTTGCAACATAATGCCTTTCAGTAAAATAATATGGGCTCAGAACCACTTACTGCTTTTTGTTGGTACTACAACATACTATTTGTAGTATGTTATTATCTGTATGTCAAAACAGACATAATATTACAGGGTGGACTCATAGGCAGTGCTTTTAGAAAAATAAAGAACCACCATCCCTCTCTTAACTGTCCTTTTGAAAATTTAGATTATTAACTGTTATTTCCATTTATAGTTAGTAAATAGTAAGTAAAAGTAGAGATTCAGTAAATCACTTGTCCACGGTCATTCACACAGGGCCTGTGGCAGAACTGGAAGTAAACTGTAAGGTTTTTATGTATCCTAGTGCATAATCATTTTTCCTCTTGCTTTCTATTTTTAGTATGTTTATACCTACTAAACATACTATACATACTAAACATAGCTATTTATTTACAGAACTGAGATATCCCTGAGGTAGTCAGAAGATTGCCTAAGCTGCAAAGATGTTGGAAGAAGATATGGAGGTGGCCATCAAAGTGGTGGTAGTAGGAAATGGAGCTGTTGGCAAATCCAGTATGATTCAGAGATACTGCAAGGGCATTTTTACAAAAGACTACAAGAAAACTATTGGGGTAGATTTCCTGGAAAGACAAATTCAGTATGTATTGAACAGATGGCTTGTAATTTATTTGTGCCTTCCCTCTATTTCCTTTTTCTTATCTAACCTTAGGGTTTATGAAGACTTGAAAAACGATGTCTGTTGTCTCTAAAGCTAAGTAAAGGGAGTTGTTTCCTCTTTTGCAGAGTGGGCTAAAATAGCATTTCATTTTCTACCTAAGATTTAGAATTATAATTCAAACACAAATTAAGAGTGGAAGCTCTGTCATATTCAGCTTTTTAATCAGGTTTCATGCATCTTATACCACTTGTTTTTTTTGTGTTTTTTTTGTTTTAATTTCTTATCTAAAGTGGAAGAGCTTGTGATAAAATGATTGTACACATTTATTAACCAAAATAGGTAAAGTAAGTGTGGGGAAAAATAAGTTCAGTATAGATCTAAACTTCTTAAATACATAATACAAGCAGATAGAAGCCAATTATATTTGATAACAAAACAAAATATTGTAATGAGAAGCATATTCTCTAAATCATGTGAGCTGATTAAAAAGACAAAAAAGATAATTATTCAGACACATAAGCTTATATTTTGATATCTTTATTTTTTTGGTAAGAAGGGAAGAGGTAGAGAAAAAGAGAAAAATGTAATATGAATTGTCAAGAAATAGCACATAATGAAATTAAGGGCCTGTTGCTATGGCATGGAAACATCATATTAAGTTAATTACATTAAATGAAATTAAACTTGAATTAAATTACTCTTATCCAAATATATTGTGAAGGTGAAAGTATTTTTATGTCAGTTGTTTTGAATTGCTTTTGTATCAATGACAAAATTATGTCATTTATTCCAGAGTTAATGATGAGGATGTCAGGCTAATGTTATGGGACACTGCCGGTCAAGAAGAATTTGATGCAATAACTAAGGCCTACTACCGAGGTGAAAATACTGTTTGTTATTTGTTCTTTCTTTTCAGTCTTTTAAAATACTTTCCTCTCCCTTTAATAAAAATTCCAGTTGTTTCATGTATGTGGAAAGAATGTATTATTCACTTTTTTTTTTTAATTCAATTCTGAATGTTTTCTTTTTCATGCAAGATACCTGACTTAAATGCCACAATGCAGGATACTTAGTACTTCTCTTTAAAAAACATTGAACAAAATAAGACTAAAAGCTTAATGGAAACTGTATGTAGGCATTCCAACAACTTAATACACAATTTAACTTTATTGTTTTTGTCTTGTATTTTTGATCCAGTAGCCTCTTTAATGAATTTTAAGATAGATTTTTTTTTTTTTTAGTTGCAAGTGCAACTTCTGGTCCTGATATGGAGTATTTATTGTCAGCAATAGGAGTGAGGAAATGGAATGAGAAATGAGATCAGAACTCGGGAATTTCTGTGTTCTAATTTTGATTTGCAGTTTCTGGCTTTTCTGTCCTTATACTTTTCCTCTAAAGGCGCTTGTTTAAAGGCACTTGCTTACTCCTGTAAGAAACATACTAGTAAATGTTTCAAAAACTATGATTCTAGCACTTAAAAATTAATCCAAGGGGAAAAAAAAAATCCACCGGTCAGTCACCCTGAAAAAATACTTTACTAAGCTCCGTGCTTCAACTGCTGGTGCAGACTCTCTTCAGCATGTTAATGCAGCTGGGTAATATTTGCTTCATATATATTTACTTCAGTATATTTCCCTATTTCAGTAAATATACTTCATATATTATGAAATGTATTTACTTATGAAGTATATTTACTTCATAAATAGAAACTACATTAGTCAGTTGTGTAAAGGCAGCTTATCTTCTCTTCAATCTGTTACAGACTCCTTGCTTAGACTTCTTTGCATATAATTTAACAATGGTGTGAGTTTTGTTTGTTTTTATATTTAACGTGACATGTGAATGACTAAGATAGCAAAAACTCCATGTTCCTCTCATAAACTAGTTACCTGATAGCAGGAAAAACATATTTTGTGAGGTATAATATCTTAGAGAAATTTTCTTATTTGGAGACAAAAGTAATAGTTATGCCTTACTGTTTCACAGTTGTATAGTCTTCTGACATTTTAATATGATAGAGTTTTAACAATGATTTTTTTTGCTAATGTTTCTGGCTGTCACTTGTAATTAATGATCATCATTTTTCAACAAAAGATACTTCCGCTTTTCCCATTTCTTTTTATCCTTATATGTGAAACAGGACATTCTCTTAGTGTACAGCTTACAAGTTGAACTTGTGAATTTAAAATGATTAGAAATTAGTACCTGAATATCTTTGAGTTTCCTTTTCACTCTCGTAACCTTCTGCTCAGGTGTGTGCTTTATTTGAAGGGTTTCTGAAGTGCTGAATTAAGATTGTCTTCAGTTGTTTCAGGCCAACATCCTTTTCTTCTTTCTTGCTTACTGGCCTCGCTTCCCAAATCAAAACTGGTGGTTGAAAAACATCTGTTTGGGAATCCTGAAATTCTGCTCATGGCTCAAACCCCGTGTGGTGCAGTTTGAACCCTGCCTTTAAAGTTCTTTATACTGATGAGATTGCAGTGAAGTGGAACATAAAAGTGCTTGCAGATGCTCATTGGAGACAATGTTATGGATATTCAGCAGTTCGGGCTCTTTGGCGTGGTGACTGTTTTACAGTGAGCTTTGTCTCTGAAAGGATGAGGGACATTGTAAGAGCCTGGAACACAGTTTTAGTTTAGCAGCAGGTCTGCAAACAGAGTGGTACAGAAGTGCTTTGGGAAAACAAGGGTGTGACTGGGATGCATTCCCGATTCGGTGAAGGTGCCGGTGGGTAGATGCGGGTTGTTGCCTCGGCCGTTGCCGTCCTCCTGTGCTGCAGCCTCCCTGCGGCGGCGCTGGGCCCATCCCCTCGCGCGCGGCACTGCGGCTCCCCAGGGACCCTGGCCCATGCAGGGACCTTGGCCAACACAGGGACCTTGGCCCGTGCGCGGCATCGCAGCGTGGGGGCCGGTGCTTCACACGCTGCCCTGAGCCTCGTCTTGTCCCGGCACCGCGTGTGTTCGGCCTCACCCAGAAGCAGAACTGCAGCTGACAGGGCATTGGTTGTGTGGGTTTTCTTCAGGCAGGGGAACGTGGGAAGTAGCCCGTGCAGCTGCATAAGCAGTGTCGAGCACAGGAAGTCAAACTGTGCAGCAGCGCCAAGTTACAGATTTGGGAAAAGCTTTGTAGGTACTTTTTGTTGTGTCACACCTCCTCTTACTGTTTATCCACTTCTATCCTATGTCAGTCACGCATTTCCTAGCTGGACAGGTACTTTATTCACATGCTAGCTATGCTCAGCCATGTGTTCTGGCCACGTTGCTCTCTTTCGAGGCAATATTGGACACACACTTCTCAGTCCGAAAAAAAAGAAAAGATAGAGGAAATTATGGAAGACTTTATATTGCTGCAGTTTTATTGGTAGAATTTAAGGTAAAATTCTGGGGGTGGTTCTTACCATTCTGTATAAAAATCATATCCAGCAAAACTAGGAAGGCTGGTGGAAGAATGTTAAAGAGCACAGGAAAACTCTTGTAAAACAAAACCAAGCTTGGCCTTGAACTGATAAATAAGATGAAACCTAATAAAAATCAAGCAATTTGTGTCAAAAAGATGCAAAAGCAAACAACACAGGAGCTGGGGATACTCAGTGAAACTTGTAGGTAAAATAAAAATTATATTGGTAAAATGAAATATTTTTTCAGACTTGAGCATTTGCCACAAGATAACACTGCTGAATCCCAAATATCATTTGTCAATTTTTTTTGCAAAAATATAGAAATATTTTATTAAATACATTAAAGGAGTATAAATAATAGTTTTTCTCCACGTGTTTGACATGAAAAGAAAGTTATTTCTTGAGAATAGCAAAGAACAGTCAAAAGACCTTTATCACCTTTAGTACTGTGATAGAATGAGCATGAATTAACAATATACTTACTTTCTCCAAAGAGCTATTAAATGACATAATTAAACTACAACTTTCCCTGATATTTTTTGGTTATTTTTTAAAATCCAAAATGTAGCATTAAAAATAATCTGTAGTGAGTTTTACAAGTACTGTGAAAAAAATATTTGCTATTTAGCTTCCATTTAGCAATCTGAAACAGTAAAAATAAAACAGCGCCCTTTTCTGGTCCTTTCCAGTAATCTTTCTACTCCTTTTCCTTACATACCTTTCCTTACCTTGGAATAGCTTAAGGTAAGAGGCCCATAACCATAGTGAAGAATGAGAACAGTGATCAAAATAACATAGCAATTTATTACTTTACATTTTGAGAACTTTCTTACCTTTAGTCTGATACAAGCTGCTAATAAAAGTTAACTTTTACGTGAGAAACTGGAAAAAAACTTGCATTTCAAATACACTTTATTTTGTATGATTCTCTTTTGTTTGATTATTGGTTGATTTTTATATATTTCTCTTCGTAATTGCGCTGTATATTTTCAGGTGCCCAGGCTTGTGTTCTTGTGTTTTCTACGACTGACAGAGAGTCCTTCAAAGCAATCCCTACCTGGAAGGAGAAGGTGGTGACTGAAGTTGGAGACATTCCCACTGTGCTTGTACAGAATAAGATTGATCTCCTTGATGACTCTTGTATAAAGAAGTAGGAATTTTATGATGCTGTTTTTTAAAGTACACCTTACATTCCCATATATATGTATATATATATATATGTATACATACACACACATTTTAAAAAAAATATGAGATTTCCATGTGAAAGCTGATAATACCCAGGTTATCAAGCCTAGAACCTGTGTGGAAAGATGCCATGGAAACAGTGGTGGTGTTGATCCTGTGTGAGTGTAGTTCCTTGGGCAGATGGGCTTGCCGAGCTAGGAACTTTGCTTCATGTTGTTGTCTTAAGAATCAGAGGAATGACACAAAGAGTTTGACAGTACCATGATAGGATTCTCTCTTCTCTTAAATAGGAAGCTCTAAAATTGTGAGTTTCCTGATAAAAATTCTAGTTGCTGTTAAACTCTGCTGTGCACCAGTGAATTTACAAAATCTAGTTTGGATAGTTGGCACTTGCTAAATTGATAAAAATAATTTTTGTTTTGCTTTAAAGTATCATAATAGTCTTCACCTTTCTTGAATTTCTTTTGCCCATTTTTATCAAAACATAAATCTGCTATAGAAATCTGTCTGTTGATATTCTCAAACTGCACTGTGCTGATCCTTCTTCGTTTTATTTTTCTTCATAGATTTTACTGTCAGTCCGTTCTGCCTTACTTCTTGTATTTGTGCCTCATTCATTTCTGCTACAAAACCAGCTTAACAGCATATTCTGTGGAAAATACTTCATGATAAGGCTGACCATTCTCCACCTCTTTATTTCTGCCATCTTCCTGAGAGATTTAAATTATTTCTTCCTTTTGCTGTTTCTTCCACTGGCTCTCCCTGTTCTCTGTTTGCCATCACTGATGGTGTAAATCAGCTTCTACTCCCTCTGCACAGAATACTGAGGATTTTCCAAAGGAAAAGCAAAATTGCATTTGAGCTCCTCCTTTGTTTATGGTATGTCACTTAGGTTTTGTCCTCAAAATACCTCGTCTCCCTCAGCAACTTGATCTTTCTGGTGACATTGTTTCCCTTCATGAAATTCTTGTCACTTCCCTCAGCCTTTCCTTAAAATTTAGCACAAGTTGATTTTTTTTCCTTCACAAAAAAGTAATTCTTGATTTCATTTCTATATTCATTTGATTGCATCATCTACTTTACTGCTTTACTAAAATATATCTAAGAACTGGGTGTTTTGCTTGGTTTTACTTTGCTGTAGTGGCCCCTGTTCCGAGTCTGTTGTTCAATATCGTACAGTTACAACCTCCTTTTGGTTTCACTGACACTTGTCTTGCACTTCTGGGGAATTCTAGTTGTTAAAATTAATAAATGTTGAAATGCAAACACTTTTGGCCATAAGGAAATTGGCTGCAGAATATCTTCTTATTGTAGTGGAAATATTATAAAGCAATTAAGTATCAGGTACATCAGTACGTTCACAGCTTCTTAACCCGCCTTGCCATTTTTTGACTAACCACAAAGCATTTTGTCTGTAAATATTGATAAATGCTGACAGATGAAATCAGTATTTATAATGTCTTCTCCTTTTGTGCAGTGAAGAGGCAGAAGCACTGGCAAAAAAGCTAAAATTAAGATTCTACCGAGCATCTGTGAAAGAAGATCTGAACGTGACAGAAGGTGAGAGAGACGGCGGGCGGGTGTCGCTCGTGTCCCCTCCGCCCGCCGGGGCAGCTCGGAGCTCGCCTGTGCTCTACGGGGGTTGGG